TTCTTGGCCATTTTGTTCCCTCTTGCACGCCTTGCCTGCTTGTACCTTTTGCTCAGTTTTTATTAGGTAGCTTCATTTGATCTTTAGCCTTCTTGGCCCTTTGCTTTTCTATATAACCTTGGTGACCAATGTATCTTGTTGCACTGAAAACACTGGGATTTACATTAAAAATTGTTTCAATTTTAAAGATCACTAGGGGAATCTGTCATCTTTATGATGTTGTCTCTTCACATCCATGAATTTTGCATACGTTGTCATTATTCGCGATTTATTCTGGGCCCCTCAATATTTTTATTTCACTTTTTCCATCTTCCGCATTTTAGTTAAGTTCTTTCCTGAGTTCTTTACAATTTTGTGGCTATTAGGAAGAGTTTTTTCTGCACCTCTTTCAAATGCCTCGTATTGCTTTTTCTTGCCTTATTGCCTTGGCAGAAAATCCAATACAGTGTTGGATAGCAGTGGCAAGAGTGAACATCCTTGTCTTGGGTCTGATCTTCGAGGGAAAGCATTTAATCTCGAACCGTCAATATAATATCGGTTGCAACTTTTTCATCAATGCTCTTAAAAAATATCTTTTTACTTTTTTAAGTCTATTTATTTATTTTGGGAGACAGCGAGGATGAGTGGGGTAGGGTCAGAGAGAGGGAGAAAGAATCCCGAGCAGGATCCACACTGACCCAGCACAGAGCCCGATGTGGGGCTCGAAGTCACAAAGTGTGAGAGCGTAACCTGAGCTGAAATGAAGAGTGGGATGCTTAGCCAACTGAGCTACCCAGGTGCTCCTCATAAATGGTCTTTATCAGACTGACAGAGTTCCTGTCTCTTCCTACTTTGCTGAGAGTCTTTCCTCACGAATGGATGTTGAATTTTGTCAAATGCTTTTTCTGCACCTATTTTGTAGTATTTTACTTTAATTTGTTAATCTGATGAATTGTATCAGAAGATTTTCCTGGTGTTGAGCACTTGTTCGTCCCTGGAAAATAATTTTTAATGTAATCTTGAAATGTATTTTAAAAATCCATTTTTAAGACAGCCAACAACATACTAATATTTCCTTTTCGAAAGCTAAAGTGTTTCTCTATAGTATTTGCAAACACACAGCATTTTCCCAGAGGATGCATGAAAAATTGGTTATAATGATTGTCTCAAGGAAAGGGAACCGGGTGGTTGTGGGATAAGGGAGAGAGGTACTCCTAGTAACCTTTTATTTATTTATTTATTTATTTATTTATTTATTTATTTATTTATTTACTTTATTTATCCTTTTTGCATTTTGTTCCAGGGGCATTTAAATCCTTTTGAATCAAATTACAACATTCCAGGAAATTCTGGAGTTCCTTGTGTCCTCTGTGCCTAATGCTTTTTCCATCTTGACCTCCTCCCGAAGTTACAACTCATGAATTTGGGGTGCTTCCTCTGCGGAATATTCTTCGCATTTGCCAACATTGTAATATTTTAAGTTTTAAAAAGGAGAACATACTAGTGTATTCCTCTAGTGCTTTTCTCCTGCTTTTGTATAAATATATGTATATTTATATAAAGTAGAGTAATGTTTTATGTTGTGTGTGTTAGGTAGATGTAATCATACTGCAAGCATAATTCAGAATTTTTTTGCTCTATTATTTGTTGAGAAGCACTATATATATATATATATATATATATGTATGTATATATGTGTATATATATATACATGTATATACACACATGTATATATGTGTGTATATATGTATGTGTGTATATGTATATGTATATATGTGTACATATATTTTTTTAAGATTTTATTTTTTTAAGGAATCTCTACACCCAACATGGGGCTCGAAACCACAGCCCCATGATCAAGAGTCACATGCTCTATGGGGTGCCTTCATGGCTCAGTTGGTGAAGCCACCAACTCACTTTCCAAACAGGTCATGATCTCCCGGTTCATGAGTTCAAGCCCCGCATCAGGCTCCATGCTGGCAGTGTGTAGCCTGCTTAGGATTCTCTCTCTCCCCCCTCTCTCTCCCCCTACCCCACTTGTGCTCTCTTGCTCTCTCCCAAAATAAATAAATAAACTTTAAAAAAAAAAGTGCTCTACCGACAGAGCCAGCCAGGCACCCCAGGAGCTTTACGTTGTTACATATACATCTAAGCTCCTCCTTTTAAACAGTTGTACAGGATTATATAATAGAAAACCATCACTACTTTGTAATCTATTCTAGAGTCTCTCCAGGATGGATATAGAGCAGTGAAATTGTTGGTTTTTAAGGTATACACATTTCTTGTGTGTTTGTTTGTTTTTAACAAATACTACTCAATTTCTCTCTAAAGGGACTATATTCGTTTCTTTAATGCACCAAGCAAGCATTTTCTTGAGTGACCTCGAATGAGCAAGGCATGTTTTCTCTCTGGACCCCCAGTGACTGCATCTGCAGGAGGAGGGAGCTGGGTGGACTCCATGAGTGTATGAGGTGGCATAATGATAGGTTGTGCAACCTCAGAGTGGGTCGGGAAGGACAGCCCTGAGGAGACAGCTGGAGGAGGAGGGCGCGGGCGGCAGCCAAGCTGGAGGCAGGCAATTTAGACTCACTTGGCCCTTATCGTGGCTCCTCCATTAGTGCAATGACAATTTATGTGGAGTTCTCATCCAAAAGCCCCCCCGGAAGGCCTGAATACCGTTTTTCTCTGGGAGAACTCCCCTCCCCTCCCCACATCCCAGTATCTCCCACGGGCAGAAATGGCAAGCAGGGTTAGCAAAATGCATAAATGGTAACACTGCCATTGAACAAATAAATACTTTTAACAAATACGGAGCAATATAATTGCGCCGGTCACAGATAATTACAGGATTTATAGATGATATTAATTCGTAATGCACTACAGATGGTGTGATCCAGGAATGGAACACACATTTACAAGTCTATGAAGAATGCTTTCCTTTTCAACCCTGTCGGGGTGATGCTCTGACTCAATGTATAAGCACCTTGGGAGAAGTCTTCGTTTGAGCAACTTCCTGAAAGTGAGATGGACCAAATTCCCTCCCCCTTTCTCTTCCCTACCCAGGTTCAACTACTCTGAGGCTGGCAGTGAAAAGAGACATCTTGTTTAATGTTTCTAAATCGGATGACTGTGTTGATTACCCACACGTTGAACAAATCTGGATGTATTTTATGGTTTCCCAATGTATGCATTCTGGTTATTTTAGTAGAATAAGAGAAGGGGAAAAAGGTTCTTCCTCCTTTGGAGTAAAGACAAGGGAGGAGATGACAGGGATGAAATGGATTCTAAGATGTGGTAGAAAAGGGTTCGTTCGGGGCCACAGCAGATGTGGATTCTGAGCCACAGTCGAGGTGGGCTCCGGGGAAGAGACAAGATGGACTCTGGGACATGGGAGAGGTGAGCTGTCAGGTCAGGGACCAAGTGGGTTCCGGGACAAGGATGAGAGACATATGTTCTGGGACAGGGATGAGGTGCATTCTGGAACATGGTGGAGGTGGGTTGTTAGGTCAGGGATGAGAAGTGGGTTCCTGACGGGGACGAGGTGGATTCTGGGACATGGTGGGTGTTGGTTCGGGACAAGGGTAAGGTGGATTCTGGGATGTGGTAACGGGAAGGTCTTAGGTCAGGGATCAGATGGGTTGTAGGACATGTGTGAGAGGGGGATTCTGGGACATGATTGAGGTGGGTTCCGGGACAAGTACAAAGTGGATGCTGGGACAGCCACCAGTAGAATCTGGGTCAGGACCCGTGGACTGTGGGCCAGCCATCCCACTCCCGAGTTCCCAGAACCTACCCATGCATAGTCCCCCTGGAGCCCCGAACATGTCCCATGGCCGTTGTTAGCTCATCCGTCTCCCACAGGCCCGAGCTCAAACATCACTTCCTCATGGAGTCCTCTGCGGGGAACCTCCCCGCCATCTCCTTGCCCTTTTGCTTCACATGCTCATTCTCCCTGTACTTTCTCTTCTGCTACTCTGCGGGCCAGGTGATGGTGCATTTACACCTGTGATTCCTTGGGTACCCTTGACTCCTGGCCAGACTGTGACTTCTCACGGGCAGGCGCCGCGTGTGCCCCGCTCCCCACGGAGCACAGGGCCAGGCACAGAGAGGCTGCCCAACAGTCGCTTGCATCGAACGAAGCAGTCTTCCATGACACTAGGGATCCTGTGTGATTTACGGTTTCTTTCAAAGTGCCTGAGCGGCCTTCTAAGTGCGCGGCGAATCAACAAATAAAGGAAAGAAGGGTGTCGGGCGAGAGGAAGTGAGGGAGGAAAGAAGAGGGAGGGAAAGTGAAAGAGACTGGAAGGAGGAAGTGTAGGAGGGGAAGCCGGGGCAGGGACGGAGCCCGGGGGAGGGGGAACAGATTGGGGCACAGAGGGAGAAACGCACAGCGAATGAATGAACGCCCGCCCGGCCGCGCGCACCACCCCCCCGGCCCCCCGGGCCAGTGCGTCCTGCGCGCCCGGCCCCCGCCTACCCCCCCTCAGTCCTGCCCACTTCACTTTCCCTCCCTCTTCCTCCCTCA